ACCACCAAACATCCACGCAAAAAACAAACCCAAAGCCACACTGACTATGAGGCACGACCACAAACCAGAAGCCAGACCACAGCTGCATCATTAGCCACTTTAAACCCCCCCAATCCATACATGAAGCAAACTGACACCCTCCATGAAGAGGAAGCACGACCACGAACGCGAAGCCAAGGAATGGCAGGGCAGCCCAAAATCTTGAATCCCTCTGCAACTCAGACTAACCTGAGCACAACCAAACAGAACACTCCCCCAGCCAATCAGAGCACAGCCAACCCCCCAGCCAATCAGAGCACAGCCAACCCCCCAGCCAATCAGAGCACAGCCAAGCCCCTAACCAATCAGAACACACCTCCACCCAATCAGAACACAGCCAAGCTCCCACCCAATCAGTTCATACCTCCACTGGCAGTTAAAAGGAAGAAACAGCCAAGACCACACACTGCTGCTGAGGCACGAAGCTGAAAGCACCAGCCTGAAGATGACGAATGGGACTTCGTCGAAACGTCGCCAAGACACTTCCAATTTTACGTGGGAGAAAACCCGAACACATACAAAAGAAAACCTCAGAAAACATATATATATATATATATATATATATATATATATATATATATATATATATATATTTCCCGTGTAAGAACAAAAAGCACTCACCAACCTGAGGAAAGACAACAACACAATCATTCTCCCAGCAGACAAAGGCAATGCCATAGTAGTGATGAACACATCAGACTACCAAGCCAAACTATCCAACCCACTCCCAGTCCCCGCTTACAAACCTCTAAACACAGACCCCACCACCTACCTGGAAAAAAACCACCAAATCCAAAATAAAAGCCTCTCCCATCAGTGAAGAGATCCAGCAAAGAATCATACCCAGAGAGAAATCATCCAGATGTCCCAAGCTCTATGGCCTCCCCAAGAATCACAAAGAAGGAACACCACTCAGACCCATAGTCTTCTCCATAGGCTCACCTCTACAGAATCTTGCCAAATTTCTTGCCAAAAAACTTCAGTCCTACACAGAATCCATCTCCTCACACATACAAAACTCACTCCACTTCATAGAAACAATAAAGAAACAAAACCTACAACTCAGAGACCTACTCGTGAGCTTCAATGTCACATCCCTTTTCACCCAAGTGCCTATCAAAAAAGCCTTGACAGCTATCCAAAACAAATACAACCCCCCTAAGCACATCCTAGATCTGACCAACCACTGCCTAACCAACACATACTTCATCAACAATGGACAAAGATACAAACAGATAGAAGGAGCACCTATGGGATCACCCCTCTCACCCGTCATCGCAAACCTATACATGGAACACTTCGAAACCAATGCCTTAGACAAATCTGAACACAAACCCAAACTCTGGCTCAGACAAGCAGATGACACTTTTGTAATTTGGCCACATGGGAAAGAAAAACTGGACAACTTCCTCACACATCTCAACAGCCTACACCCCAAATACAATTCACGATGGAAATAGAAGCTAACAACCAACTCCCCTTTCTGGACATCCTAATCTACAAAAAACCCAATGGCTCCCTAGGACACACCATCTACCGGGAAAAAAAACACACCAACCGCTACTTAAACGCACAATCCCATCACCACCCTGCACAGATCAACTCCATAGCCAAGATCCTCATATCCAGAACCAAATGCCTAGCTGACAAAGACCACCTGAAAACTGAATTACACACTCTCACAAACGTATTAATCTCCAACAGATTCCAAAGAAATACTATTACCAGCCTAATCCAAAGGGAAACACCCCCCAAGGACCGAGATATAGAACAGTACAATGACATCGCCCTCCTCCCCTACATCAAAGGCACCACAGATAAAATCAGCAAAATTCTCCACAAACACAATATCAAGACAGCCTTCGGCACCGACCAAAAAATAGCCAACATCTTAAGACACCCCAAAGACACAATCCAGCTAGAAAACCAAGGAATCTATGAAATACCATGCAAAATCTGCCCAGCCACATACATTGGACAAACTAATAGAAGAATAAATGCACACATCGCAGAACACAAGAACGCAGTCAGAAAAGAAGAAAAAACTTCCTCCCTCTTCCAGCACCTTAAAGCTACAGGACATGAAATTGATTTTGAAGGAACCAAACTAATCTCCAAAACTGAACACCACAACAAGAGAATAATTATGGAAGCCATCGAAATAGAAAAACACCCCACAACATGAATAAACGTGGTGATACCTCCTGCCTACCAGACATCTGGAAACTAGCCTTAATCAATAAACGAGTCCTAGCCACGAAAACTGACACCGGACCCAGAACAACACAGTACGCCACCACCATTCACCCTCACCAGACCCAAACCCAAGCCCAAATCCATCCCTCAGACGAAATGCAACCACCATTCAGAAGCCAAACCACGACGACATCACCAGCTGCTGCACCTCCCTCCGACCCCCACACAAAGCAAACGGACACACACCATGAACACAGAGCTTGACTGCAAACTCGGAGCCAAAGCAAAGCCCAGTATGTTACTTCACAGCCTTCAGCCTTGGACATCACATTACAGAACTCAGGAGGCTACAACGCCAAAGCTCAGGATGTTACAACACAGCCAACCACCCAGGATGGTGCAACACAGAACTCAGGATATCACTACACTAGATCTCAGGATGTCATCACACAACCCATTACCCAGGTCGTTACAACACAAAAGACTAATGGACACACAGCCAGCACCTCAACTACTCAGGATGTTATGAAACAGCCAAACAATCCACAAACAATAACTCCTACACAGCCAACCAATCCACCTACAGCAACTAAGCCAGCACTCCACACACCCCCACCAATATTTATAGAGAGACAGCAGCTCCGATCACACTTTGCTCGCACAAGCACAAAGCCAAAGACCCGAGCCTGAAGATGACGAGTAGGACCTCGTCGAAACGTCGCCAAGATACTCTCAATCTTACATGGGAAAAGACCTAAATACACCAAGACCTGCATACCTATACCCGTGAAAATCTACGAAAACAAATATATATATACATATATATACACATATATATTCTTTATAACTTATTTTCCATTTAGACGTACTACTGGAATATTATGGGCTATCATTAATCCTGTCTCTAGTCGTCAGTGGACTTGCTGCAAGTCAAGCCATTTTTACTATTCTTTTCTTGGAGTTGAAAAACTACTGTGTTAAAAGGGCTTTCAAAGGGATCATCCTCAAATCTCATTATGGTACACAGGAGATACAGACCAAATGATCCATCTCAAAAAACATTCATCACCATCATTATGGCAAATTAAAATTAGGATCCTTGGCAACCTCATTGTTCTTAAGTCTTATTAAAATCAATGTCAAATGTTCTTCATTTCATGGGACTTAGCTGCATATTTGCTCAGAAACGTATTGTCAAAATATCCTATAAGCTTCTTTTGTATTGGAGAATAGTTTATACAAGTTTTGCATGCCAAAACAACTAGACACAGAGACAGTTTTTTCTCTCATGCCATCACTCCTGCAGAGCTTGCAGGAATGACTAAATTGACTGATTCAGGAGGGAACAAATTCCCACAGTACTGTCTTATGTCTAAGGATATTTATCCATGTAGTATGGATGTATTACTACTATCCTTCTCATCTTTTCTACTACCTTATCTTATTGGTATCTTATTATTATATTACTTTGTTGTTTGTATGTACACTGAGAGCTTATGCATCACAGACAAATTCCTTGTGTGTCCAATCACACTTGGTCAAAAAGTATTCTATTCTATTCTATTCTATTCTATTCTATTCTATTCTATTCTATTCTATTCTATTCTTTGGAACTATCTGATACAAGTCTACATTATATCAGATTTCAAGATATAGATGATATAGTTGAGCACAGATATTCCATAAGCAATGATGGAGCAAGGGCCAGTTAGCATCAACCTCTTCTATATCAATATTCTATTTGAAGCATTGCAACAGTAAACAAGATCTGAACAAGATTTTTAAAGTATTGAACTTTTCTATGTTCTTCTGCCTTGGGATATCCCTTTGATACCAGATAGATTTTCATGAGTGTTAGATTGAGGAGCATGTGGTAGCTGGCTATGGCTAAGAGAAAGAGTGAGTGAGCTGAAACAAAGCTGTCTATGAAATTTTTTTAAAAAAGTTCTGAATTGACTGCATTAAATGCTACTTAATGGAGGGAAATGGAGTATATTTTTATAATTTGTATCAATTAGAATTCATTTTTTATTCATCAGAACTTCTGTGTCCAAACCAGCAATACAAATGTACTTTTACTTTTTATCTTTAAATATTTTTATCTCTAAAGTGTGAGAAGGAGGATTATATGAAGGGAGGCTGCACTGTAACATGTATTCAAGCTGACCCATTCTGCATTAAAAGGTGCCCCTTTCATTTTTTATTCTCTGTTACTGACATATTCTAGATGAAACACCATTCCTTTGATACTAGGCACATCTGGCAACTATAGAGAAAGATGAGGAATTTGGTTAAATATCCCATGACCAATAACACTAGCACGAAGCCCAGGCTGGATAGCCATATGTTCTCCCTTCAAAATTCCTTTTATCCTCCTGTTACAAAAGTCATCAGCTCAGGCACAGCAAGTCTGGGATACGAAACCTTAAGTGCAAAGCTTTCACATTTGACTTCTCTCACTTTTGTTAACTGGTGCGGCTTTGCATCTGCCTTTGCAGCAAGCAAGCCATTGTCTGCAAAATGGAGATTAATGTTATTGACTTACTGTACGGGGATGCTGCAAGAATTAATGAGATTTGTGTGTTGACAGAATTAGAATAATCTTAAGGCTGAAGAAAGATGTCATGTAAAAATCTAGTTCTCATGTTTTTTTTTAATGTGTTGTTAGGATTTTTTATGTTAATATCTATTATAAGATATTAGTGAATAACATATTGCCCTTGCTTTTCTTTATATTACCTTTCCTACCTATCTGGTATTGGTAGCACCCTTTCCTTTTTTACTCACAACAGCGGTGACCTTGTGGAAATCAGGAACCAATTTGATGGAGAAAGGTTTTTCCGTGGAGCAAAGGGGGCATGGTTTTGTGTGCTGCCTGCATCCCATGGATTCGGCTTTGCTTCTTTGCACAACCCAGTTGCTGGCATGATGCGGACCAGTCCATGGACCAGGAGTTGGGGACCTCTGCTCTACAACACTCAAAGGTTAGCACATCCAAATTTCTCTTCTTATCCAACGATACTACTCAAAGAATACTACTCAATGATACTACTCAAAGAATAATCAGGAAAAACTCTAGTTTCAACCAGTCTGGTATAATTTGAAAGTAAAGGGATTTATGAAAATCTAATAAGGGTCCCATACTGTCCAATGTTGGGACTATCATATAAATATATAAAACAAGACATCATCTATAGCAGAGGTCCCCAATGTATGGGCTATGGCCACTACTGGGCTGTGGCCTCTTAGCCACTGGGCTGCATGAGTGGCTGGCCAGTGTGTACATGCATGTGTGCGCACTCACCCCCCTTGTTCTGGCACTAGCTGAGCCACAAGCCATGAACCTCTCGTATGCACACGCAGCCACATTTGTGTGTGTGCGCATGCACGGATAAAGATGCCTGCCGCTCCCTTTCCCACTGGGTTGCCAATTCAGAAAGGTTGGGACCCCTGATCTATAGCATTTGAAATTATCCCAATCTGAGTCAAATTTGGACTCTATTTATCACCGCTCCTATCTGATTATTCTGTCTATGGAGTACAGAAGAAAAAGGGAATAATGACAACAAAATAAAATAGGGAAGAACAAGAGTAGTATTTTAACTTCTGATTGGCTCACATGCTAAAGATAGGCATGAATACAAAATAGGAAGAGATCGTACATAACAGTTGTAAAGTGCCTTTTGTCTAAAATATATTTATCCTTATGCACCAAAAATAATTTTTCATGAGAATCTGTAGAACAAATTCATATATGATAGACACTTTAAGCAGGGCTATAATTGATGTCAGAATAATCCCTGCCAAAACTTCTGAAAATACTGAGGGGTCCTTGGTGCTCTCTGAGCTTGCTTGTTTTCTTGCAGCTGGTTTCATTACCCTAACTAGATAACATCATCAGTGCTAGTTACCTAGTTTGGGTAATGAAATGTCTGCAAGGAAACAAGCAAGCTTAGAGAGTACCAAGTACCCTTCATTTCAACTCTGAGCTACAAATATTCTCCTTCATTGATACTATATATATATAGCCTCAGCTACAGAAATAGACTGGGTCTTGGGTTTGAAAGTTGAATATTCTAGACCAGGGGTGGGGAACTATGGCCCTTTTATGATTTGTGGACTTCAATTCCCAGAATTCTGGGAGTTGAAGTCCACAAGTCATAAAAGGGCCCTAGCTCCCCACCTCTGTTCTAGACATTTTCCAAGCTAACTCTCTTCCAGCTCATGGAGAATTTATTCTTAATAATCCTTCTACCATCACAGGAGCTCCAGGGGATTATTTCCTCCTGGCATGCATTTTTTATTTTTTTTAGCTTGAATTTACATCATTGGGAAACATGTGAACAATAACACACAGCCACAGTAGGAGTTTTACACTATCATTCAATAATCAAGCAACTCTCCTCCCCCAGTCTTTCAAAATCTGCTTGCACTCCTAATCTCTGTCAACATCTCCTGACAGAGAGACACAGTTTGTCACAACTGTAGGCAACAACTCTGCAAAACTATGTGCAATAATATGTATAAAACACTTTGTGCTAATTCTGTCCTTCTGATGAACTGGCCTGCAGTTTCCAGAATTCTCAGCAGTTGTGGCTGCTATCAAGAATCACTCTTGTTGCAGAATACAGTATATATTTTTGCTCCCAATTTTAAGCAGAATAACTTTAAGAAGCCTACATGGAGTTGGCATTTGCTCTCTTGGCTGGAGAGAGCCCTTTGCTTTCTCTGTTTATAGGAGACACCTGCCTAATCTAATCACTCTAGGGAGGAAACCAAAGCACAGTAACATTTGCCCTCTGGCATTTCTGCCTCCCACCACTGTTAACAGTTTCTCCAGCTATGCTTATCCATCCTGAAATGGGCTGAGATCCCACTTGTTAATCCCACATCAAATGTCAACTTGCTGGAGAATTTGACTCCTGAACACTCTTAAGGTTCTGAGTCAACCATTGTCTCAATTTATGCGGTGGGCCATGACTGGCAGGAAGTCTGGAGACATTATCACTTAACTGAGAGAAAGTTTCCACCATTCATTGGACTAAAGGGCTGTGTTAATAACTTAGTGGTTGCTTCATTCTACACCCTTAAAGTTTTTTCTGAGGGGCAGTTCTCTTTGGCATCAAATGATTCTTGTAAACAAAACATGTTTTCCCCCCCCATCCAGTTATGTTTTTTTCCAATGGACTTTAAAAGATGATTTTTATTGTTGACTTATCAGTTGGAAAATATATGTGAGTTTAACTAATTAAACTTACCCACCCTCAGCTTTACCTACCGGAACTGAGTCTGTGCCATTTTATGTTACATACAGTTTTTATATCTTGTGAGTCACTAGATATGTAATAAATAAAGTCAAAATTGTGATCCAACCAATTTTGAACAGTATTCAAGTCCCATAGGTTTCAATAAAGGAAGCCTGTTGCATAATCTTAAATAAGATTATTTTGTTTTGTGGCTTAAAGCTATGGGACTATGCAAAGGATAGCAATTTTCAACAAGTTTTTCTCTCTCTCTCAGGATGCACAGGGGACCTAAATAAAGCAATTGGTTCCAATGGCGTCAAGCAGCGATCTTGTGATCTCTAGAATCCTAGACTCAAGCCTAGAGCCACCAAGATTCAGTACCCCATTACGAAAAAAAACAACACTCCTGTCCTGCCCTCTCTTCATTCTCCCTGAAATTAAGATTCTAGGCATAGTTGCAGCTTGTTTGTATAGTGTACAGAAATGTATTTGGAAGAAAGAGAAGTCAGTGCCATTTATTGCAAGGGAAAAGAGGAGAGAAAACACAGACAATATGTACAAGACTGAAGGAGAATAATTAAGAGAAAGATAGCTAGGACAGGAAAACTGGGATGAAGAGTTTCTGCAGCTGAAAGGACATCTTGCCTTCATACAGAACAACACTGCTGGTTAAAAGTGCCACAAGTAGCCAAGACTTTGTGTGTTTGGTTATTTTTAAAGAAGAAAAATTCTACCATTTGATTGGTTATTCCAAAAAAAAAGCAAGCAAGCAAGCAAGCAAAGGAATTAACATTTAGTCCTCCCTTCCTCTTTTCCAAAGAGTTTTGTCACCTTGAATTGAGAAGGGTAATTATACCTAAGGAACTTAATTGAAAAGGGCCTACTATACTCTATAAACTTCCTCCCTTCCCTATAACAACTTTAATACCTCAAATAAATAAATAAAATGCCCTGTTTTTTAAAAAAATAAAAGAGCATAGAATAGGTATGATAATCCAATTAAAGCAAGAACAGGACACACCATTATGTAGCTTAAATAGGCTGAATGTCAAAACTGGTCTTTTCTCACTATAACAAACTTTTGCAGTATTGTTAATAAAGTTCTTGACTGAACTTCTGGATTTACCACTGTTCAGAGATTGCGGTTGTGTGTGTGTGTGTGTGTGTGTGTGTGTGTGTGTGTGTGTTTGCTTGTGTATTAGACCATATTGCAGAAGCATTTTCTTTGTTAATGTTATTACATATTACATAAATCTGCATTAATGGACATCCTCCCCCTCTCCTTTCCACTGCTACCTTGTATCCATTAAAACTGATTTTAGAAGTTTGGGAGCCAATCATAAACAAGCCTTGAATATACAAAAGATCAAGGATATCAAGGTAGATCAGCAATTTGCTGACTCTGATATTTTGGACTTGAGCTGTCTCAGTTCCTTCTTATTGGCCATTCTAACTGGGCATGAATGGAAGCTTAATCTGTTCAGAATCCTATGGATTAGAGAAGTGGAAAATCTACTGCATTACAGAGGATTCTGAAATTTAATTCTAAATATTATTGAAGTGGAGAGAAAGTATGAGCAGATTTACAACATTAGCCTAAAATGTCTAAGTTAAAAAAAAGATATTAGGTCATTTCCTTTACCACTGAGAATGTTGGATGTAATTCAGGAAGTCCCTTCCTCTGTTAGAGTTTTCCACAGCCACCCCACCCACCCAGGAAACAATGTAAAACAAGGCAGCTCATTGCTCCACTGTTATTCACTAGTTAAATCAGCTCCAGGGACTGTCTAACTTGGCACTTGTAGGGAGACAACACCCAAACCTGTAGGACAAGATCAGAGAGTTCTCAGTGTTTGTCAGCCTAGGCTTGAATGGAAGCAGGAGCAATTGAAAGGTCAAAAAGACTGGGTAAGCAAAATGTTAACTAGCATGTTAATAGGCCGCTAGGAAGACTGTTGGAGACTGCCTTAGATCTGAGGTCCCCAACCTTTTGAGCACTAGGGACCGATTCCATGGAGAGAGGTTTTTCTGCTGACCAGAGGGAGCGTGGTTTTGTGTGCTGCCTGCATCCCACAGATGGGGCTTTGCTTGTTTGTGTGGACTGGTTGCTGGCATGCCGTGGCCCGGTACCGGTCCACAGACCAGGGGTTGGGGACCCCTGCCTTAGATGAGCTTTTGTTAGGGGAAATGTGCTAAAGCCTCTTTTTTTGGAAAGGCTAAAATGCGTAGGTAACTTGATGTCTTCCAGATGTTTTGGACTACCCTAGCCATAGTCATGGCTATTGAGTATACTTGCTGGTCATTCATATATCTTGGGGGAAAGTTGTTCAGTTAATTAATTTTTGACTGTGAACTGGCATGTCAAAGGAGCCATTCCAATGGTAAGTAGGACCAAGTCCATTTTGGAATTTGAAGGGGTTAAAGAGTGCTTTAAACATGTGCAAGGAACCATGTTCCTATTTTGCCTGTTCAAGGTCTCCTCCCCCCCCCCATGCAAAAATAGCCCAAATGTTTGTTTTACCAAATTTAGGAGAGTAGAGGAGAGCACAAAATGAATGCTGTCAGACTGCCATTTTGAAAGGTCAAAAGGTTTACAAAGGAAGAGGTCTTTCACTGGCATGGTGCATTAGTTCATTTCCTTCACAATACTGTAAACCAGCTCTGAAGCATTTGGAAAGCCCTCTTTCCCCCTAGATTCTGCTCTGATGGCAGCGGGCTATAAATGCCTGGGTGAAATAATAGCCACCTGGTATATTTCTCTTCTTCACCACTTCTACTATGGATGACACAGGCAAAGTGTTTTTATAAGAAAAGCAGAATGCAAACTGTAGATGTAACAAAAATAAAAGGACATACATAGGACCATACTTCTTACTTATCATCTCTTTTGATCCCTGTCCCAGAAAGACCCTGAATGTAGCATGCACAAAGAAAACTGTTGTGAAAATGTGAATAAAGTCTTTGCTAACTTTGTATGGTCAAAATTTCTTAAAGCAAAATAAATAATTCCTTAATTCAATTACAATTTATTTGGCAATAGCTTTGTATTTATTAACCACCCCAGCTGTGCAACTCTGGATGCAAAAAGAACATCAGAAACAATCTATACCTTATAAAATAAGAGATGAAAACAAATATGCACAATGCACAAATTTATAGAGGGATCCCCACATCCAATTAAATGGAGTGGGACACCAGATAAAATAGTGAGATTTTTAATAATTTTCTGGAATATGGGAAAATAAGACGCTATAAGTGTATGTTCCATAATATGTGGATCTCTATAAAGAAAGCCTGCTGTCTTGTTTAAGTCATATCAATGTTGCAAAGAGGTCATATGAACCTCAGCAGGCCCTTTTGAACCAGTATTACTTAGTTACTAACCAGAGCCAATAGCATTGCATCCCACCGGTGCATAATAGCCTTGTCTCAGGGAAGTTTGCTGATTTAAAGATCAGTAGGACATGTACTTCAGTGTCAACTATAAAGAAGTGAAATCGAAAGATACATAAAATGGCAGGTCCGTAAATGAAAGGGTAATGTTACATCTTGCTTCTGATTTTCCCTCCCTCCCACTCTTTCCCTCTGTTTAAATTTTCTATGGCCCAATGAAGAATTAACTCTAGCAGTAACACTGCCAGACAAACTGCTGTTGGTTAACACTCTGCAGATGCTTTTGAGGCAAACCAAACTGTCTGTCCATTGATACAGGATGACATTCATCAGCATCCATGTTGGTTGGTAAATGAGCAGCCATCTGGGCCATTGTATTTATCTGATACATTTTTCCATGAAAGAGATCAACGGTAAAAGATTTAGAGAAACAGAGGGAGGAAAAAAATGGCAATAGCTTTTATTTTCCATTTTTAAAAAAAGTTGGTGTGAAATTCTCCATGCATATTGCCTGCCCTGTATAGAAAACAGTATGCATATTATTATCCATTTTTTCTTAAATTCATATCATGATGTAATAATAATAATAATAATAATAATAACAACAACAACGTTGGAAGGGACCTTGGAGGTCATCTAGTCCAACCCCCTGCTCAGGCAGGAAACCCTAACCAGTGGTGGCGAACCTGTGGCACGTGTGCCAGAGGCGGCACTCAGAGCCCTTTCTGTGGACACACGTGCCATGCCCCAAAGATGGCAACCGTCCCTCTTCAACCAACCACCCGCTAACTCACTGAGGTCCCACGTGGCCGGATGCATCCCAGCACAACTGGTTTCCCTCCCCCCCGTCCCATCCCTCCTGGCCTCGCATGCTCTCCTTTTCCCAAGCACGACCCACTGCATTGCCTCCTCAGTTGTTGACTGGCCATCCAGCTCAGAGGCGGCTTCTCTGAACTGCTGGCGGTGGGCTGCGGAGCCCCAGAATGTGCCAATCGAGGGGCCAGCACGCTGTGGCTGATGACGGACACTGTTGCCCCCCATGTGCTTGCTGGCCTCTGTGTGCAGGGGCCGATGGTGTCAGGTAGCAGCCATCCTGGCTCCTGCCTCGCCTTGCCCTGCGACAATGGCATCTCTGCCCTGCCTTGCCTTGCCTCACCTCACCCTGCAGGATGAGCCTACTGCCTACCGCCCTACCTGCCAGAGATCCCCTGGATCTCCCCCAACCCTGCCCAGCCCTCACAGGTGTCTCTCCCTGCGAGCAACCTCAAGATGACTATGCCTACCTTGGCCACACCCAGCAAGTCTGCCATGACCATCACAGCCACGCCCACCTGGCAATAAGTAAGTGGGTTTTGGGTTGCAGTTTGGGCACTCGGTCCCTAAAAGTTTTGCCATCACTGCCCTATACCATTTTGGACAAATGGCTGTCCAATCTCTTCTTAAAAACTTCCAGTGTTGGAGCATTCACAGCTTCTGGAGGCAGGTTGTTCCATTGGTTAATTGTTCTAACTGCCAGGAAGTTTCTCCTTAGTTCTAGGTTGCTTCCCTCCTCCTCAAAGCTATGGGTCACATGTTAAAGAATTACACAAGGGTATTGTCCAACTAATATGAATTCTTGTGCAATTATATGAATGTAATTAAGCACTATATTTATAAGTAGTCCTCAACTTAAAGTCATTCATTTAGTTTGAAGTTACAATGGTGCTGAAAAAAGTGATTTATGACCATTTTTCACACTTATGACCACGTGATCAAAATTCATGATCACGTGATCAAAATGTAGATGCTTGGCAATGGACTTGTATTTATGAGGGTTTCAATGTCCCGGGATCATGTGATCCCCTTTTGCAACTTTCTGACAAGCAAATTCAATGGGAATTCAGATTCACTTAACAAGTGCAGTGATTCACTTAACAACTGTGGCAAGAAAGATTGCAAAATGGGGTAAAACTCATTTAACTGTCTTGCTTAGCAACATAAATTTTAGGCTCAGTTGTGGTCATAAGTCGAGGATTACCTGTACGACCGTCACTTATAGACTGGGGAACCTAGGCTGATTTCATTAACAAGGCAACTACTACATAGTATAGATCAATTTTTTCAATGGTTATTCACAGTAAATTAAATTTACTAGTTCTTTGTTCAGGCATTCTCCTGTTTCCAGCATGGCCAAGAAGATGTTGAACCTGATAAAGAACCAATTAACCAGGAAAGGAAGGAAACTGCTCAGTTGATCCAGAAGAGGATCTCCTTCAATGATGAGTAGATACCAATAGAGAAGCTTTATCATTAGCCTATCAACTATCAACAACTATCTAGAAAAACTGCAGAGCCTTGTTCCTGAAGAATATTGGTTTGGGTTTATTCATCTCAGATGGATCTCCAGAAAGAGAGAGCCTGGTTTTGCCACTTCTATTTGGACCTGTCACTTTGCTCTGTCCTGGTTCCATGAGTAAAACCATCAAGTCTTTCCTTTGTTTTCTGACATTTTCTTTAGCTCTCAAGCAGCTGTCTGTAAGGAAAGCAGCAGGATTCTCTTATAAGAGTTCCAAGCAGATCACTTGCAGAGGCCAGCTTTTGAAATGAGGCTGAAAGTTATGTGCAATTGAGGTTGACGTGGCCCAGGGCTGCATTTACTTACCCCTGACCTAGATAGCAATCTGAGCAATCACAAATATCACTTAGTTACAGTGCTCCCCAATATGGCAAGAAGATAAAGTGTATTTCTATTTATAGTTGTGATTTCTGAGTTTACATCAGTGTATGAGCATAATTTTGCATATGAGATGCCCTCATTTTCTTTTTGTACACTTTGTGATGTTTGCAGAAGATTTTGTTTACACAACATATTGTTTACTGTTTACACATCCAATATTCCACTGTTCTGAAGTAAATACATTTGTATGGAGAGTGACCATCTTTGTAAGATACTCACTTGCTATGAAGAAGGCTGCAAGACAATTTCTGCCAAAAAAACCCAAAAACACCCCAACCTGTTTTGCACACCTACACAAATTACAAATCAAGATTGGTGTCATTCACCTATCCCATCTTCTTTTTTCCCATGGGAAGAAGTGAAAAATTAAAATGAGCAGCAAGAGGAAATTTCTAAAGGAGCTCTATATTATACATCTACTCTAGGCTTTCATCTCTGTGCTAGTCACAGGAAAAGAAGAGTAATTCCCCTTTAACATTCTTGTCCCTATTCCAGCAATGCTACTGACTTAGATAGGCTAGTTTACTTCTAAATAACCCCCAAGTTGATTTGCATTAAACTACACCCTCTCAGGCCCTGGAGCTGACTGATCCCCTTGCACAATGCCTAACTCCACCTATGATACAGTTACGCATATTATGAGAACTCTGCCAGAGAGCGAATGGGAGGGAGCAATCTGTCTAAAGGAGGATGTAGCAATAATTTTGAAAAGAATATTAATTTAAGCAAAAGCCCAAAAGATGAAAGTATTTCCACACTAAAAGCAAGATTGCTTATTCTACCTTTTCCTCTCCCATCCTGTCTCTTCTTAGGCACTGACAGTTCCCTATGGTTAAGGTAGAATTTACTACTTTAAAAGGACTGTGACTCACAGAGACCAGGTGACAGTTGCTCTTTTCGGTGTTTAGAACTATAATTCTTCTCAATTATCAAAGACATAAATTACTATTATTTCCTTAGCCAAATCGAACATCTCCCTTAAAGATGTGAAGGAAAAATTGCTGGTTGTCTAGTGAATTTTTCTCTTGGAAAAAAACCCTGCTTATTCTTAATATGCAAGTTCAATGAAAGTTCAAAAGTTTATTGGTACAAAACCTGCATTCTGTAATTTGCCTGCTAGTGTCTCTGAATTGAGTAGACTTTCTGGGGGAAGGGGATTTGATCATCTTTGTAAAAGTAATAGCACAGCATATTTTCAGAGTGTGTGGCGGTGCCTATCGATCAGAATCTGACCACAGATGGTGTTAGCAGAAAGGAAGCTGGCAATGGTACAAGATGTGCCAATCATGGGAACGGATTTTTGACTGTCGCAGGAAAATATTCTTTCAGACCAGCATAATTCCTCAAGGATCCGTCACTTGAAGAATTCTGATTAGCCAGTATTATTTGGTGGGGATGGGGCGGGGAGTGGTGCCATGGCACAAAATTAAATATGATAACTAAAAAAAAACATCGTGGAATTCAATCTTGTTATCTAATGTGGCTGCGTTGCAAGACAATCACTACAGTAATTCTAAAGTGGAAAGTACTTTACAAGCAAGATTAACTGATATAATAAAGGATGGCCATGATTTAATTGTTTAATTGCAATGAGTTCTAAATTGCTACCTTAGAAGAGTGAGCAGAGCACAGCAGCCTATTAGTTTACATATCCGTAACTCTGACACTGGAACTACTAAGCATCCTTAGCATTTGGAAATGTACCCATACAACTACTGAAAACTAGGATAGTAATTTTAGTAACAGAGTCATAGATACATTGAGTCTGTTTATTTCAGGACCAGGCTATTTGAAGAACCATCTTCTCTTTTATGAACCTACTTTTCTATTGAGTTCCTTTTTGAAAACTATCTACTAAGGCCAGAGAGAGGACCTTTAGCAACACTTGGTTGTTAGACTGCACTTCTGAGAGGAATGATCTGTAATGGGTAATCTTGTAACTGCTTATGTCAACTGTTACCAGATTGTTATTCTAACACTTTATTTTATTTTTAAATTGCTGCTGTTTTGTTTCTTTCCTTTCATCGCTAAGTTTTGATAGTGGCTGTTTTGAGCAACTTACCAGTCTATAGAATGGTGGATAGAGAACATTGTCATAAAAAAGTTTTACTACTGGGAAGCAGATCAGCTTTTGAGTTACGTGCAGAAATTGATGGACTTTTCATAGTTGGCACTTATGTGCTAGGATCTCCAAGCATTTCTTGGATGCATTAATGAAGACACCTCCCTAGAGAAGCAAATGCTGTCATATATGCATTTTGCAAGTGGAGAACTGGATATGTTGAGAGGGAAAACATCTCTATTGGGGGGGGGGGCAAAAGAAAATTAATTTGATTCATTTGTTATTGTTAGTAAGGTCAGAGCTCAGACCTTGATGCAAGCTTGATGTCTTCTGACAGACCTCACCCAGAGAAACCATTTACTGTAGTTATCGACACAGAATAAAGATCTCACTGTCATTTTAACAATGAAGATCTTGCACAATTAGTTCAGTGCCTTACAAAGACATTGGTACTAATAAAGAAGTGATGTGATAGGAATAAGGTTTCCTGAACTGTCCATTATATTTTAGAGCAACTTTCTCAATCTCAGCAACTTTAAGATGTGTGGGCTTCATGTCCTACAATTACCTAGCCAGCATGCTGAACATTGTTTTAGAGGATTCCTTTATAAAAGATTACTCTGACCGCTGTTTGGAATAAAATTAATAATTTAGAAATAAAATATGGTTGTGTTGTTTTCTTTGCCATATGAGCCCCCAAATAAGATTTCCCCCCATCTTCTGGATACCCTTCTAATCATTATTGCCAGAAATTAGTTTCTTCCCATTCTGAAGGTAGGAACATGTTAAACCTGTGATACAACAGGCTTGTATGTTTACAATTTGGTATGGTGTAAAGGTAAACTATTGAATTACATTGAGGAAGTCTAGACTGAAGTTCATTCTCAACTATGAAAATACACTAGATAATAAATATCCATAATTTTCTATAATATACAGATTTCTAAGCTCTGATTGTCCCAAATAGATAATATGAGAAGAAACTTAAAAGTAAAGATAACATGTCCACTGTATACTGTAAAATATCACATGCCTAATATGTAAATGAGAATTAGTTTAATGTAGTAGTTAAGGCACCAGACTAGAAAATGAGAAATCATGAGTTCCAGTCCTGCCTTAAGCACAAAGTCAGCTGCCACCTTGGGATAGTCACACTTTCTCTCAGTCTGGAAAGAAGACAATGGCAAATACTTCTAAAATGTTACCAAAAAACCCTGCAGTGACTTGTATAAGCAGTCTCCAGGAGTCAACAATGACTTGAAAGCATCAACATTTTAAAAAAAATCTAAATATCCAATATGTAATGAGTATCTCCTTCTATTTCTCCTCATAGAAATGGTTCTGTTTTTTGTTTTCTTTGTTTGCTCATCACCTCATATATTCTAGACAGTATCAATAAATAATAAATACATCCAATATCACAGATTACATGTTCCATTCCTGCCCAGAGTTAGTCAAGGCCTCACTAAGGGTAACCATTTAGGAATACCACAGCTTTCTAGAATCCTTGGATCCTTCCCAAACATTCTCAAGGGCTTTGCAGGCATATTTTCCTGAAGTGTTTATGACTGTGTGTTTCTTCTAAATGCTTGCTTAAGCATTCTAAGATTAAATTGGTTTTAGACAGCCCTCCCTTAATATTAAGAAAAGTTTGCATCCACAACTTTATTCTGTAGCAAATCTCATTTAGTTGACCAGCTGATTTTCTTCTTAACTATTTTAGCTCCATAAGGACAATGAAGAGAGGTCACCTTAGCTAAAGCCATCCATACACCAATTACACTTCTCTATTTTCCCATTGTTTTGCTTAGACCAGATGAAACCAACAACACAAGCCAATCTAGCAGATAAATATTTGACATGTGAATGGATACTGTGTTCCAGGACTCTAAACCTAACCCCAACCCATATTATATATCCAAGTTATTTGTGAGTTGATTCTGAAATTTGTAATCTCCTATGTTGTTAGTATTAGGAAATTAATGTCATATCCAAGGAAAATTTAATTATGACAATCAGATGGGAGGGAAAAACCACACAGAGATGTGCTATAAACTATCAATTATATTGTCTTCCATGTTGTATGAAAAAAACTAATTCTGGTTTTTCTAGCGTGGTTTATAAATGTTTGCAAGTTGCTTCTAACCACAAATTAAGTAAGAAGCATTTTTTAAAAAAGAATAAATGATAGTATAGCAAGATATGTGAACCCATCGTATATCAGAGCTTGCATACTTGTATTTTTTGCATGGCAAAGGAAGAAGTTGATTTTATATTACATGTTTAGAAAGTGTTTCTATTATCAAACATCAATTAAATAGGAACATATTTTTGATTTAAGAAATAATAATAAACCCAAACAGAGGTATTCAGAACAAATTAAACACTTCATTTATTGATATAGTTTGCTACATTAGCCTTCTGAACATGCTATTAGATTTTATAATTTGCTTATAATTGGATAGTTACATTTTATTAACTTTAGGCTCTTTCACGTACAAAGGTATAGAATCAGTTTATGATACAAATCTTTAGAAGCTACTTGAATACACATATTCAACAGATGCATATATTATTTTAATTGCATTAAGATATACATTCAAGAAAAAGAATTCTGTGGGAAACGTATAACCTCTAAGTCTTTAATTTTCTCTCTCATTCAGGCTTATTCCCTTAGATTCTCTTCCTTTTTAT